AGACCTACCAGCCACTATCCATCTGTATTAAAAGACCTACCAGCCACTATCCATCTGTATTAAAAGACCTACCAGCCACTATCCATCTGTATTAAAAGACCTACCAGCCACTATCCATCTGTATTAAAAGACCTACCAGCCACTATCCATAACGCCTCCACGGCTGAAAGGGCGAGCATGTTTGGTGTGACAGGATTCGAACCCGCGATCCTCAGATTGTGAGTCGAGTGCCTTAACCACCTGGCCATGCCGGGCTATTATTTTGTGTATGAAATATATTGGTATTTTCAACTTTAACGGCACCTTGTTTAACACTTGCATGATGTCTCAGGTATTGATGTTGCTAATTTTTGAATTACTGACCAAATGGAAAGCGGTTAACAATCACCACCAGCCACCACAGCGGTTCTGTCTTTGAATAAGGTTGACTACTATAAAAGAACAGAACGAAGAGACGAACGTATGCAGCTTATTCGGCTATACTGTGATGTTAACTTTGGATAATTCGTTTAGTAGTTAGGCACGATAAGCACTGGGATACTTCCGGCCCCAAGTTTTGTATATGTATTAAAGGAAACAAGAAAAAGTTTGTAGACTTTATGTGTAAAATAAAGTATATAGATTTCAAATTATTAGTATATAATACACATTTTTGTAGTAGTAATTTTTGTTCAACTATAATTTTTAACTCATTCACCAAGTATTATATTGTTTCGCATTTGCTTCTGTAGAATCTATGCACTCTTAAATCTGTGGATCCCGCTGGGTGAGCGATAAGTTTGTGGATTCACATCATCAAAATAGGAGGGGTCCGATTCCTCACGGTGGAAAGAATGCTGATAGCCCATGTGTTGTTTTGCAACAACTTAAGTATAGACTGAAAATAAATTCTAAAGATTTAGTGATTGAAAGTATCCAACCATTTATCTACTTAACAATACAAAACAAATGGATGCCACAAAATCTACATAGTTTCATCAAATATTATCTACCAATGTTTTTTATTCTGAAAAATATACATACATATATATATGGCATGTTTAATTTACAAAAAGATAAATTGTTAATGTCCTCTGCAATCTCTTATATATATATACATTTTCATATCCTTTATTTCATTTTAATGTTCCTTCACAAAATATAAAAATAGGCATTTATAATTAAACACACACACACATATATATATATCTTTTGATGTAAGAAAGTTATTTTAATATAAGTTTAATCATGCTTAAGAGAATGCAAGTGATCGCATGTTTTTTTTTTAAGTTCGAAGCGTTCGTGGCAACATTTTCTATTTACATGCAGTAATCAATCTCCTCAGAATGGTGTAAGATAAGGCAGAGCTTCACATCTATCAAATAAAGCTCTTCAAATTTCCTTTACAATAATATTTTATCAGTTAAACATATAATTAATTATATTAATACACAAGCTTTAGTTACATTCATATTAATGAAAATCTTTTCTTTAAACTAATTCCTTCCGCAGTGATATAAGTGATCAATAAGAGCAAAAAGTAAAAAAAAAGAAAAGAAGAAGGTATCATTGTAGAATTATTATACAAACTATAACTTTTAATTATAAAAATATAACATAAAGAAGGACAGTATAGTACATGATTATTTAAATTAAACCAAGGTTTTAGGCTTGTTTCAATACCAAGACTTATGTCATAAACATTCATACAGTTAGGTGTCCCCATTTCTAGGTGCAAATATAGATGCAAACACTTAAAACCACCTGTTTAAACAGACGCCAAGCTTGTATTTTTTTCTGTGACGCAAGTGGGGCATGTGCTTCTCTAAGTTTGGAATTCTCATAGGATTGTTTACTGACTGACACTTTGAAAGCTAACAGACCAAAAAGCAAATAATAATTAAAAATACTTCTGCGCTGATATAGGAAAACAAAGTTGTCGGTTATGTTTTCCAAACAAAATTTAATAAATGCCCAAATATGGGAATTTTCTACATTCATATTCACATGTACTAAAAACAAGCAGTAAATTTGAATCTGGGTAACCCTTACACATGATGCATCGGGATGTTGCTGATTGATAATACACTACAAAAAACCACGAATTATATGCAACATAAACAAATGTGATTATGATTTTTAAACCATATTTCTTTCACTAATTTGATGTTTCTTAAACTCAGAAAAACGGAAATAGAATGTAAATGAGGTTATACATTATATACTGCATGCAATGTCTTAACAATATTTCGGATAAATTGTTTCTTTAACACAGGATCTCTCCCTTAACCAGAAGTGAAGTAGTATTTTTGGATGACAGGGCAAGAAGAAACAAATTCTGATAATTATTTCTTGGAGGTGTTTCATACATTGTTGGCAAGAATGAAGTCCGCTGAAACCAAATATGTATTCTATATGATGGTAACACATTTCAGTTAGGAGTAATGAGCAGTCAGAGACACAGGGTTTTGGAGTGGCTGCACCACCTTACCAGCAACGATTACACACATAAATTGATTATATCTTTTTATTGATTCTCAAATTAGATTATGCGATTTCTCTTCCTTGTCTGTTTGAGGTTAGAGACTTTGTTCTTGACCTTCCCTTATCAGCACCAAACCTATTTTTGAGTACTACCACAGTATATTTGGGTTTGTTAAATGGATTTGCCTCAACAAAGACTGTCAGAAAGTCTATCGTGATCCATAACGGTTGTACATATTGTAATGTAAGTCGGGCATTTCAGAACCTTACGCATGCAGGCAATCGAGGAAATAATAGTAACTGATAATGACATACCGAAGAGTAGCAAAGTTTCAGTTACAGTCAGCGGGTCTGGAAGCTATCAGCTGAAAATATATTTGGCTTCAGTTTGAAGAACAGATGCAACGAAAAAAAGGAAGTCCACGTTGAGATCCGCCCGTTACACGACAAGAAGTACTGGCATTAACTATGGGGCTTTTGCTGATTTGATGATGTGGCCAGTTATAACTCGACTAGTGTTTGTTTTTGTTCTATTTGAAAACTGTAAATCGTCATAACTCATTATTGTGTGTTGCATCCTGTATAAGCTTTACTGGGATTGAATAAATCTGTACGTCTGATCCCTGCTACCAAGACACCTTTAATTGAGGGAAAGAACACATATTAAAGACAAATTAAAATAATAAGGGTAACGTTTTTCTTTAGTTTGCTATATTGTCAATGTAACACCCTTTTAACACTCAATTCCTACACGTACCTTTATACCTTCTTTCTGAATACATGGCTTATAGAAAGCTTTCATCTTGCTGTTCTGGATAGGTGGCTTAGAGCAGCTTGGTTAAGTTCCGTGATATAATGAGAATCCCGAAATGGTCAGGAAAATAAAGTGTGATTTTCTTATCGTTTTGATATATATATATATATATATATATATAT